CATTTTTTTTACGGGTAAAAAAAAAAATGTTTTCTACCTTTTTTGTCAGCCAGAGCATTTGAAATCTCCTTAACCCCTTCCCTGATGCCGTGATCACTGTATTGTTGAAAACAATTTAATGAACCCTTTAAGTACTGATCGCATTGGTCCAAACTGCTTTCCGTAATTGTATTTTAATCTTTGGTTGGGTTTTTGTGGGTTGAAGTATGAATTGGGTGTAGTTAATGGGTGTTGGGCAGGAAATAAAGTAATTACCCCCTTAGTTTATAAAGTTTTACTACTGAGTAGACTCAGTAGACTACGTGTATGCAGTGGCGTACTAAGGGGGGGGCGGAGGGGGCGGTCCGCCCCGGGTGCCACCAGGGTGGGGGGTGCCATGACCAGCCCGCCGGCCCCGCTCATGCTGCAGCCGCCCGAGCGCTCTGTAGAGAGCCTCAGGCGGCTGCAGCTTTGCCCGGGCGGTGCGTCCATGAGGGCGGACCGCACAGCCCGGGCGCAGCCTGAGGAGAGGGGCTGACAGGAGGGAAGCGCTCAGCGCTCCCTCCTGTCACTCCCTCTGTAGTAGCGTGGCCGAGCCCTGCAGCATGCTGGTCCGACGGGTACAGAGAGCATCTATCTCCTGTACCCGACCGGACTAACAGGAAGTGCACTATACTAGGCTCGGCCATGCTACAGCAAAGGTAGGGGGGAGGGGAGAAAGAGATATTAGGAGGGGGGGGTGTGAGAAATAGAAAGAAGGGGGGGTGAGAGAGAAAGAGGGGGGGTGAGAAAGAGAAAGAAGGGGGGGTGAGAAAGAGAAATTGGAGCGGGAGGAGAGATTGACATTCATCACATACACACCCCGGGTGCCAAATGCTCTAGGTACGCCCCTGGAGGATAGGACTCAATATTGAGACGTTCTACTGGTTGCCATGGTGATTGCTCATTATTGAGCATTTAGCCCCAGAATAGCACCTGCTTCACCTTAATAAATACCCTCCCATAATGCTTTTATGCAAATTTATGTAATTTGTCTCAAGAGAGCACAATTACTCATCTCTAATCAGTCAGCAGTTTTGGGCTTCCATAACATACAACGGTTTCCATTAACACCTACATTCACTCTATACATAGACTGAAAGACAGAAGATATATTGTGAATAGAAATCTATATAATCCCACTCATAGACCTATAGTCTTTATTCTTTACATAAATTAAATGTTTGTTTCACGCACGAGTAAGAACACAGTAGTCCTAAGGCTGATAATGGCTGTCTAGACATACTGTCTTTGAGAGTGGAAGGTTTAGTACGACCCTGAGATTGTCTAGCTCGTAAAACAAAGAATATTTACTGATATTGCCGCGGTGTACGTGATAAGTATAGAAATATGGTTACAGAGGCTGTCCTGTTGCACATACTTTTTAAATAGAGGGTTATCTACTAAACATAGAATTGTGGAGAACCGAGAAGGCTAAAGTCTTTGTTTTTAGATGATCCACCAGTTGTGTGTTTCTGGAGGACCATTTTTGATCTGTTTAATGCTCTGTTTGATAAAACATTGCATACACTTTAGTTCCTCTCTTCTTCTCAGCATTCTTTGACCTACACAAGGCAGTCCTGACTTTAACAAATAGACCATGTTCATCTTCTCACATATGGTTTGTCAGAAACTGCAGGGCAGCAATATTTGTATACAACACAGTAAAATATTCTACAACTACACAAAGCTCACTGGACAATTACACAATATTTATTTATTTTTAAAATATTTCACCAGGAAGGATACATTGAGATTTCTTTCGTTTTCTAGTATGTCCGGGTCTACAAACATTGTATTGTTAGCATACGGTACAGTATAATATTAAGGATACAAAATAATATTAAAATACATTTAACAAAGAACAAGTAAGACATATAATTAAACATGATTGCAGGTGTATTGAGATATGTTTTCAGAGATTTCTTAATCTAGTGTGGAAAAATATTTTTTTGACCGGGAGGTTGTTCCACAATTCTGGTGCTCTGTAGGAAAGTAAGGATCAAGCTAATTTATTTTCATAATGC